TCCCCTGTACAGTGAGCACAGCTTTCTCAGTTGTGTTGATATGCTTCATACAAGATAAGTAACTGCATTGGTGTTGGAGATTTACACTGCTTAATTTTCCTTTTAAGGCAGTCAGCTTCCACCTGGAATGAGTTCATTATTTCCCCAAAGCCTTATTTCACCAGGTGAAGGATTCCCTGGGTTAAAGGTCCAACATGTTACCCATCTTTCTTCAACTGCCTCGCTTCGTTCTGCAAACAAAGCCAGGCTTATATGGCTGAACCACCAAGGGCTTTATCACTCCACCTGGCCTCATTTTAACTGTGTCTACACACATTGCTCCCATTTTCTCTCTTCCTCTATTGAAATTCTTAACAGAAAGGAGAGAAACAACTAAACAAGCTATACTGGTTCATCATGATCTCAGCTGTTACACACCTGTAACATCCACTGTTGGGTTTGGGCCTTTGCTGCCTCTGTAGAGACTATTTCCATGCAATAAGAACCAAAACCAAATGGAGTATTTATATGGTTCCTTTGTTATGCAAGCATTTATAACTTTGAATAAAGCAGTACAGCAGCACAAGGGAGAAGAGTCAAGACTTCAGGATCAAAAATAACTGCTGTAGTTACTGAGATTTTTCCTTTGACATAACTTTATAAATAATTAGATTACAAGACACCTGAGGGCATACATCATCTGATCCTGTAACAATAACACCTTGAGGGAGTTGACAACTTTCTCCTTTTGGCTAAGTGCCTAGGAAGACGCTAAGGTGTATGATTAATAGAGAGCACAAACACACACCCTTGCATGTCCTAAAGCTTAGTTATAATCTTGTATCCCTTGTGGAATGTTATTACTTACATTCCTGATGGTGCTGCTGTTGTCACAGAATAACCAAAATCCTCATAGCAGGCAGGTGAGAAGAAAGGGAAGATAAAGAATATATTTGTTGTTAAGGTGGGGGGACCTCAAAACAAAGCATATAATAGTATTAGCTGAATAATTGCACAGAAAAATTATTCCAAGATTTTAGCTGGATCTTCCTCTCTAGTATTCCCTACTTTTGCAGAACAGTCATGTGTTTGCCTCTCCCATATAGAGAATGAGATGCTGGGCAATGAAAACTCCTGCAAATTTCTGAGCATAATATGAGTTGTTATTGCTTCGTTTTGTATTCATGAATTCTGTTTTGCAGCCGTAAACAAAAGCAATTGCCATTTATCTCTTTCTGTGTAGTTCATTTCAAACACATTGCTCGCACAGATTCTCACAAAGCTGAAGGATCTGAAAGAGGAAGGCATTGCCCATTCTATATCCCCTCACCCTGGTCTGCACCTCATATAGGCAACATGATGCAGTCAGCCATACCAAATTACAGCAGGGTTATGGGGTTCCTCTTCTGGGTATCAGTGAGCAGCTGGGGGGACTCGAGTGGGGAGAGGGACGTTGGAGGTCAGGCAGTGACAGTGGAGAACATTAGTGGGAGCAAGAGATGAGAAGAGAAAAGAGAAGAATAGTGATAGGAGAATGTCTAGCAGTGATACTGGAGACTGGCAAAGTCTGGTGTAGCTGGTTAGACCACAACAGGATGAAATGGAGCTCTGCTGGGCTGTTTAGGCAAGGAGCTCAGTGTTTAGGATGTTAGGTGTGAGGACATATTGTGAGAATGAATAAGAAAGTTGGATGAGAAAAGCCCAGGATAGGCACTGGTAGAAGACAACAGGATTGTCTGAGAGAAGAACATGGCAAAAAAAGGATGCGAGCACATATAAGCACAGCTCTCCTATGGCATGTGAAAGGATTGTGATGCTCACGAGTCTTACTGTTTTTCTGCAAGCAGCAAGTACTAGCAAAACCTCATGGTAAATTGAGAGTCATGTCCTTTTTCTCTACTAGTCCATACCAAAGGTGGCAGTCAGCTGTTGCTGCCAGCTAGTCAGCTAGTTCAGCAGCTGAGGCTATTTAGTACATAGGAAGGTTCCAGGCTTGCTGATGTCCCATTGAAGTGTAAAAACAAATCTGCATGAAATTACATGAAATACATATAACGGCATTCAGGTCATGAAATCAATCACTATAGGGGCAGGAAATGTTAAAATCAGGGTTCTGCTAGCAAGCTTACTTTGGCTGCATGTATTGTCTTTGCAGGATTTGCTCCTCTTTCCCCTCCCCAGTTATTGCCTTTTCAGGGTAGCTAAAGTACCTGCTTCCTGCTTTAGAGATGAATCAGGGCTGTATACAGCAATGAGGTTGTCCATAAATTTCTTCCCTAATTTGTAGCAGAAGTTTGAAAACATATGGACAATGGGACCAAGAGCTGTGGAAGAGAACGGAGGTATTCTGAGAGGAGCTCATACTGCCTTCAGAATTGTTTCTGACAATGCGTTCCTAAAGTCTTCAGATGGCTACTAAGTTTACATTCCTGGTTTTCCAGGTACTCAGATTGAGAACCAGCTGCCCCATTTTCTCTGAAAGAGAAATCAGATTTAGCTGTACTTTGAATATAAAAGACTATGTAATGCTCAGTGCTCCGAAAGATCAGTGCTTCACACCAAACACCTATGCTTAATGAAGCCTTCAGTGCTGCAGATATTATCAGAGGTTTATATACCTTGCCTCAGAGGCCTTCATCAGATACTGAAGTGATGAGTACCACAGGAAAAAAAAACAACCCAGAAACCTTGGAAAAAATCTGTCATTCTGGACTCAGAGCTGAGTTTCTGTAGACCTAACAGTAGATAAAGCACAAGGCTGCACATTAGAAGGCAAGGATTAAATTACAGACTGGATAATGTCTTGTTCAGTGAACACTGTTTATCCTGTGCAGTGACTGAGACAGGGGTCTAGTGGTAACGTAGTATCCAGTCATGAAATTAAAGAATTTGAATTAATGCAAGAGGGATTTATGCAATTTCCAAGGAAACATATCATGATCTTCCATGAGGGTTCACTATGAGGGTGTTAAGGCACTAGCACAGGTTGACCAGAGAAGCTGTGGCTGCCCCATCCCTGGCAGAGTCCAAGGCTAGGTTGGATGGGGCTTTGAGCAAACTGTCTAGTGGAAGGTGCCCCTGCTCATGTCAGGGGGGGTTGGAGCTAGGTGATCTTTAAGGTCCCTTCCAACCCAAACCATTCTATGATTCTATGATCTTGAATATTTCATTCTTCAATGTAAGATTCTGTATTGTTTGAATCTGGGTATGATTAATGATTTGTGAGGAAGAAAAATACAGATATATATGAGGAGCATGAAGATGTACATTTTTCCTTCTTACTGAGCAAGTGAAAGGACTAACTTAAACGGATTCTGGTTCGCATGGTGAAGTCTCCGAAGAGTAAACACAAAGAGCGCTGCTCACTGCAGCACCACCACATCTCAGTTTTGTGGAGGTTTAATACCTGCTAGGGTTCCTTAGGTTAGCTATTGAGAGATTCAGAAAATAGCACTACAAGTCCTTCAGTAGCTGCTGTAATTTGGGAAGATGGAAATAAGGAGAAGGGAGAAGCATGAAGAAGAGAGAGCTTCTCTCCATGTGGAGGGCTGCTACTCCATGGAATGAAGTGGAACTTTCTGCCTAGGTATCTGCACAGTTCTTCCTTTCTGGATCCTCTATACCATACCTGCTGATATACTTCCTAAAGACATTTGAGTTTAGTGTCCTGTCCCCATGCCTCCTCCCTCTGGACTTTTCCAAAGATAGAGCTTTGCATACCTTATTTTAGGATTTTACCTGTTGTAGCCATGGTGATCTAAGGAGTTAGGCAAGAAATTGTTTACAAGTAAGGGTAATGTATTTTATTAGAGGACGTGATGCAGTTGGAAAAATGAGGCAACTTTTAAGTACTGAAAAAGCTACAGAATTGACTGATATACAGGCTTTGGAGTCTGAAGTGTGGTATTCTGACCCCATCTTCATTGTTTTCTGTGTATGCTCATGACAGATTATAGTAAATTTCTGAAACTATAAAAACATTTGTTGATGGGATAGAGATACATTTGAAATGAAGACAGGTATATAAAATGGGGCTATTGTGCTACTCTGGCATATAATTTTGTTGCTCTTGGAGCAGAATAGAAATGGGCCATAGCATTCCTGAAGATCTCCCATCTTCCATAAAGACAGTGGTGTATTTCACTATGCTGCTATGAAAAATCTGTGACTTTCTGCAAGCCAGCCTTTGCTTAACACAATGAGCAACATGCCCCTTGGAGCAGCAGCCCTTCTGTGAGTTTCTTCAAAACTTCCTGTGTTTTAGTTCAGTTTGCACAGCAAGGACATCAACAAAGACCTTCCTTCTCAAAGCTCTTCCAGTGCAGACCTTCTCTTTGTAAAACCTGCTTTCACAAGAAATCTTGCTTTTGCAAATACCAGTTCATGAATCACATAATGAAACAATTCAGAGCCTTTCTTTTTTTCAGGCAGAAATGCCATGTCAGCATTCAGAGCAAAGCGTCTACTTTGTGTCTCACACTCTCAAGCAAATTTCATTGAGACATCCAAAATATTTTACTAATATTTTACTTGATGAAGGTAGGGTGAGTTAAAAATTAAGCCACACGTTTTTGTGTTATTATGTTCTCCTTGATTTTCTTTCTTTCCTTTAGAAGTTAGTAGGTGCTATTGTGAGAGATCAGTGAACCTTGAACAGGTGACCTTGTCTTGTGACAATGTCAAGAACTGACAAAAATCTGTTTAGCAAATTTCTTCAACTTTATTTTATTTTTCAGTGTAAAATAGTGACACAAAGGCTAGTTATTTTGTCTGGGTGCAAAGTGAATTTGGTAGTCAAGATGCAGACTGTGCTGAATGAGCAAACTGAAATTAGAAATTAGTGTTGGCTGGTCTGATTTGCAGCTTGGTTTCAAGATTTAATCCTAAACAAATCTGCCCTTTAGTTCAGAGGATCTTTTGAATTATAGATAGGTATTTCCTCTGTATCATCATTCTTCTTGCAAGTGTGTATTTCAGTACAGGGCAGATGGCAGAGATTATTTTATATTCGTAATGCATACCTCTAAGAGAACCATGCTGCAGTGTGCTGATGCTGGCTGCATGGGTTATGTATTCTCAGGAGACCAGCGTGTTCAGAATGTTTTCTTTTGCCCTTTCCCCTGTCATCTCATGTTTTGCTATGATAGAAGCACTAGCAAATGAGAAGCTTGTTACTGATTTCTGTGCAGATGTTCATAAATTTTTTTGTAACTCTGCATTGGGTGGCAACAACTGACATACAAAATTTGACATCTTGATTATTCCTTGATGGAAAGGAGGGCCACTAACCTGAGATACAGCAGCTTATTAACTCTGGATCTGTGGATTCAAAGCAGCCTTAGGTCAGAAGTGGAATGAGTGAGACTGTCTCAATATATTCTCTGGATGTTTGTTTGCATCTCAAAGACACCAGGTTGCCTTCAATGTGACCGGAGCAGATGGAAGAAGAAATCCTGGAACAAAAAATGTTTTACTTCCAGTGTTGCTAGCCTAGCTGAAACTGCAAGTACTAGAAATGTCAAGAGAGGCACAATCTGTGAGCTTCTCAGGTTTATTGCTAGCTGCATCAAAATATGAATCCCAAATGCTATTGTTTACTCAATTAAAAAGAGTGGTTCAAGAAATTTTATGCATATCTGGCAGTCCCATCCAGTGGGCATAGCTTCAGTTCCCAGCACTTGCAGCTTTATGCAGAGTTCCCAGGAGCTGGAAAGGATAAGTGGACGACTAAGGGCAAACAAGCACCACTGGTGTTTATTAGATATTGATGAGGGAGTACCAAAAATCTGATCCCCAGCCACTGAAGGTATTGCTGTCATTACAACAGTGAAACAAATTTCTTCAGCAATAGGTAAATGCCAGGCTGTTGCTGTCTTTGCTTTCAGCCGTATGTAACTATCATCCACAATCTCTAATGTAGGAGAAGCTGTCTTCAAAAAAGGATGCCATTTCCCTACTAACCCTCCAGTTGGCCTGTATACCTTGTAGCTAAAGCTATCTTTAAAAATTATATGGTGCATTTCTGACTGAAGGATTAGGTGATCACCACAGAGGTGATATATGCATCACTGTGCTGTTAAAATTCATATTCTTAGTCCAGTCACAGACAACCCCACAGAAAAGCATCAGCATTTCAAAAAGCTATCCTATGCTGAACAATAGAGTAAATGGCAAGAACAGAAAATTTGATTTCTGCCTCAGTGGAAGAAAAGATCTAATATGAAAGAACAACTGTGCTAAGTTTTAAGGCTTGATTGTTTTGTATTTCACTGGTACAACTGGCAAAATTAATTTCAGTGATTTAACTATTATTATTATTGACTTACCCAGTGCCCTAGAAGGCAAGAAAAAGATCTGAGTTGTCTAATCTAATTCATTACCTCTTGTCCTTCAGAGCTGGGCCGAAGTTTGCTTATACACTACGCACTGGAAAAGGGCAGCAGATGTTTGCTGCAGTGGCTCCTTCACAGTTAGTCTCCAACACTGGTCTGCATTTCTGTATTGGCATTGGTAACAGCACAGAAGAACTGAGGCCAGAAGAAGACAGAAAGGGGGAACTGGGAAGAGGAAAGGTGTTTAAATTGTAGTCCAGGGTCTTTTATTCACGCTCAGCTGGAGAAATAAGAGAATGCAAACCTAAGGAGGGATACTAATTAGGATTCCATTGAAAAGAGAAAAAAATCAGCATCACAGTGGTCAAAGCGAAACCTTGCTCACTTATGTAGCCTTAATTCATTTTATTTTACAGGGACAGCAAGCTCACCATGTTGCTTCGAGAGTCCTTGGGGAATATGAACTGCCGCACCACAATGATAGCTCACATTTCAGCCGCCGCAGGGAACTACGCTGAGACACTGTCCACCATCCAGATTGCATCGAGGGTCCTCAGGATGAAGAAAAAGAAAACTAAGGTAAGACAGTGTATAACTCCCTTCTTATAATGGTGGAGGAGGGAGGAAGAAGGACCCTGAATGATCCTTAACAGAGCAGTGTGTAACAAAATCAGTAATCGATTCCAAAGTGTGTGGGTTGTATGTATCTTGTCCTAGGCAAGTAGTTTAGAGCACATAACAGAGACTAGGAGGGGTAAGTGCTTCAGCTTCAGATACAGAGGAATGTGTTCAGACATCTGCTATAGCAGTTTTGTAAGCTGGCCTTATTTAATGGTATAGCTGTCAGAGAGAATTTGTTTTCAGTTATGCTTTTAGTGCTAATGAAATAATAAGGAGTGAGACTGCTGTAAAGTTAGGATTAATTAAGAATTAGATTCTCTGTGCTTCTCAGAGAGAGCTCCTGCAAAATAAATGCAAAGCAGTGTGTCCATTGCCAGTACTGATGATCCTGTTATTCCCACTGCTTCTAAATATGGATGATAGATTTTCCAAGAATTGGAGTGAGGATGGGCTGTATCCACTTTCATGTTTTAGAGTTCTGGTTCCTTCTGTACAGTTTATGGTGTGAATTGGGTACAACGAGTGCCTATGGATTTATAAAATCTTTTCTGTCACTGTTTTGAAGAGAGGCAAGGGAACGGATTCAGTCCACACACCATCACAGCAGTCCCCAGAGACCTCTGAGTGCACATTATACAATTCCGTACACTGATAGTATAATCAAATGGGGATTTCCTTTATTTTCTGTGCCTTGTGTAATGAGTTTTCTCGTTCCTCTTTATAGCACACACACACACACACACACACACACACAAAATCAGCAAAGCCTTTGCCAAAAATCTGATTTCTTTGGCTGGGCTCAATTAAGGGAGAGATCCAAATCCATTTGTTCAGTACATTTGGTTTTTTTTTGAAGTCTCGTCATTTTGAGTGGGACACAGATTTAGGGCATTGGGTTCTCCACTGAACACTTGTGTGTTTTCTGTAGGGCTATAGATAAGAAGCTTCAGAGTTCTGTGCCTTAGTTTAATTTCCCAGTTTAGATGTGGCTGTGACCTTTTTGTGTATGTGCTTTGCGCAAAGAGCTGTTTGCAGTGCTGAAACGTCATGATCTCTTTCTCTCTTATTGCAGTACACTTCGAGTTCTTCTGGAGGAGAGAGCTCCTGCGAGGAGGGCAGGATGCGAAGGCCAACCCAGCTGAGGCCTTTCCATTCTAGAAACACTGTTGACCCAGACTTCCCTATTTTGCATTTATCAAGTGATCCTGATTATTCTTCCAGCAGTGAGCAGTCATGTGACACAGTGATTTACGTTGGCCCCAATGGCACTGCCCTTTCCGATAAGGAACTGACGGATAATGAGGGTCCCCCTGACTTTGTTCCCATAGTTCCTGCTCTGCAAAAGACAAAAAATGAGGGCAGGTTGGAAGAAATTAGTGAATCAGGGCCCAGCACGTCTGAAAGAGACTGCCTGAAGTGCAATACCTTTGCAGAGCTCCAGGAGAGGCTGGATTGCATAGATGGCAGTGAAGAGACCGACAGATTTCCCTTTGAAGAGATGCCTGTTCAATTTAGCTCAGACCAGAAGTCAAAGTGCTCTGTCTCAAGCCAGCTGGCAGAGCTTAGCCACTTACCAGAACCAGATAAGGAAGATTCAATGCCAGAATGTCAGTATCATGATAGAGTAGCCAAGGAAAATATAAATGCAACACCCAGCAGAACTAAGAGAAATCACTCCCCTGTTCCTTCTGGAGCTCTTACTAATGTTTCAACTCCTTCTTCTCCCAGGAGTGTAACAGGCAGCTCTAGTAAAGAGCTTAGCTCTTGTCAGTTAGCACACAGCACCAGCTTGCAGAGCAGCAGAGAAGGTCTCAACACCTGTGGATTTGTGGAAGGCAAACCTCGGCCAATGGGTTCGCCCCGGCTTGGCATTGCGAGCCTCTCGAAGACATCTGAGTACAAGCCACCAACTTCTCCTTCCCAGAGGTGCAAGGTCTATACGCAGAAAGGAGTTCTGCCCAGCTCCACTCCCCCACCAGCTCCTCTGAGTAAGCATACTGGGATGACGTCTAATGAATCTTTATTGCAGTCAGAAATCCGGACCCCACCTGTAGGCATGAGCCCTCAGATCATGAAGAAGTCAGTGTCCTCCAGCAATGGGGATTTTGAAGAGACCATTCTTGATGAAGATCAGCATCAAAGCATTTCTACAGAATCCAAGAAGGAGATTCTGAGCACCACCATGGTGACTGTGCAGCAGCCGTTAGAGCTGAATGGAGAGGATGAGCTGGTGTTCACCCTTGTAGAAGAGCTAACCATTAGTGGGGTCCTTGACAATGGGCGCCCAACCAGTATCATCAGTTTTAATAGTGACTGCTCTGTGCAAGCTTTGGCCTCTGGATCTAGGCCAGTCAGTATTATCAGCAGCATATCTGAAGATCTTGAATGTTACTCCAGTGCAGCTCCGGTGTCTGAAGTCAGTATCACACAGTTCCTTCCACTTCCAAAGTTGGGCCTGGATGATAAACCCCAGGATGATGGCAGCAGACGTTCATCCATCAGCTCATGGTTGAGTGAAATGAGCACAGGGAGTGATGGTGAACAGTCATGCCACAGCTTCATAGCCCAGGCATGCTATGGACATGGGGAAGCAATGGCAGAACCGCCTGTCTCTGAGTTTGCGAGCACCATACAAAGTTCCAGCATGATTTGTTTAAGTGACAAACAGAAGCCTGTGACTGACAACTTGCTTATACTGTCAGAAATGGGGGAGGAAGCTTTCGGCAAAGTGCCACCCATCAAAGGCTGTAAAATATCAGCTCTAGGGAAAACTACTGTCACAATCAAAAATACTGCAAGCCTCAGCAGCTGTGAAGGCTACATCCCTATGAAGACAAACATTACTGTGTATCCATGTATTGCTGTTAATCCCTTCAAAGCACAAGACACTGATGATGCTGTTCCAGCAGTAACTGCAGACTCGAAGGTTGCTCATCCCCATGACAGGAGAGAATCCAGTGCTAAGAAGGATATCAAATTTGAAGATCCTTGGTTGAAGAGAGAAGAAGATGTAAAGAAGGACTGCTCTGGGAGCAGTGATGGTCCAAGGCCTGACACAGCCACAGTTTCAGTCAAGGCTGAGCACAGCACAAAGCAGTCCTCAGTGGACAGGTTTAGCAGCAGCAGTGGGGACACCTCTATCTCCCCAGGATCTGAGAGTCTAAAGAGGATTGTGGATGGGTGTGAGGTGGCAGCGTCTGGCTCAGCAACCCAAAGCCCTGTTCATTCCAGTGACAGCTTGAAGAATGGTAGCCTCCCTCGAGGGCTCCCAAAGGCAAGCAAGCTGGAGGAGCCTGATGCTCACCTCCATCCTACTGCCACTGACAGCAGTGGAGGCAGCTCTCCTGCCCTCCCCCAATTTTCTAAGGCTAGCCTTGACAGGAAAATGGTGTCTCCCAAACACTGTGTTCTCACTCGTCCCAAAGGGACTCCTCCTCTGCCACCAGTCAGAAAGTCAAGCTTGGATCAGAAGAACAGAGCCAGCCCCCAGCACAGCACAGCCAGCAGCACCACAAGCAGTCCCTCCAGCCAGCCTGGGTCCTTCCTGGCTAGCTTCCCTGAGGAGCTGAATGCCAAACAGAAAGGCCCTGGTATTGACAGCAGCTGTGGCAACAGCAGCAGCAGCAAGCTCTTCAGTGCCAAATTGGAGCAGCTCGCCAGCAGGACCAACTCCCTTGGGAGGTCCACTGGAAGCCACTATGAGTGTTTGTCACTGGAAAGAGCAGAAAGCCTGTCCTCTGTGAGCTCTAAAATGAGCCCTGGCAAAGACACCACCATGCCTCGCACCGGGAGGAGCCTCAGCCGTAGTGTCATGTCCTCACCCACCAACTCGGGCCTCTCCCAGTCGGCAGGTGCCTCTCCAAAGGCCAGCCAGTCAAAGATCTCTGCTGTCAGCAAGCTCCTGCTGGCAAGTCCTAAGGCCCGCAGCCTATCCGCCTCTGCCACCAAAACTCTCAGCTTCTCAACCAAGTCACTGCCTCAGTCCGTAGGGCAGAGCTCCAGTTTGCCTCCAAGTGGGAAGAACATGTCCTGGTCAATGCAGTCCCTCAGCAGAAACCGGGGCGCCAGCCTTGCTTCTAAATTACCCCTTCGGGCTGTCAACGGGCGGATTTCAGAGCTGCTCCAAGGGAGTGCCAGTGCCAGAGGCTTACAGCTGCGGGGAAGCCCAGAGGCAGAGGAGCGTGGGGGCCCTCCTGGAGATGAGAAGCCGGCTGTTCACATGCTGCCTTCACCTTACAGCAAGATCACCCCTCCTCGGAAGCCTCACCGCTGCAGCAGTGGCCACGGGAGTGACAACAGCAGTGTCCTGAGTGGGGAGCTGCCCCCTGCCATGGGGAAAACAGCCCTCTTCTATCACAGCGGGGGGAGCAGTGGCTATGAGAGCATGATGAGGGACAGTGAGGCGACGGGGAGTGGCTCTTCAGCACAAGACTCCATGAGTGAGAACAGCAGCTCCATGAGTGGCAGGTGCCGAAGTCTCAAAAATCCAAAGAAACGATCAAATGCAGGTAAGCTTGTAGTGGTGTGAAAGAGGGGTGCAGACCAAAGCAGATAACTAGTACGTGGCGGGGAGGTTACCCTAAAGGTGAGCTAATTCAGTACCAGCTATATCACTTAGCAAAGAAGTGAGGCCAGGGTAAGTGTCCTAGGCTTTGAGTCTCTTCATTTTGCAACATGCACAAATCCTATTTGGTCGCATTGCCTTTGCAGTGGAGTCTCTCCCTCACCCATTTCATTTAGGTTTACTTCACATGAACAGAAGAGCATTTATCCCTAAAACTGGTTAGTATTGCCAATGGCAACCACATTCTAATGTGTTTCGCCAGAGCAGTATCAGTCTTGCCAAACAGCAGTACCTGTTGTGAGACCACGTCTACTCCTTGCATGTTTTGGGTGCCCAAAAGTAGAAGATACCCAACAGCTGACACCAC